TTGATTTTTATATTGTGGTATAAAGATAATATCATGTTTGCTATTATTTTGTACACACGGTTATAATATATATAATTTGGAAAATTTTAGGGCAGAATTTCAAATGGTTTAAGGGATAGTTTACTAGCCTACCTCTGAAAGAACCTTGTGAAGTGACTCATATCATTTAGAACCCTGGTTAATTTGATCTTCTACAAGATCTACCGCAAATTCTATAATGCTTTTTAATTTATCTTTAGAAATCTAAGGGTTCTCCCCTACCACTTGGTAAATGACAGATCCTGCAGTAATCGTTTCTTCTTTGGCATTTAACAAGAAGTTGCAAAGTTTAGCGTATACGTTGTTAGACATAATTGTAGATTATAAAGATACAAAGAGAACAATAGAATTAATTGAAGTTGAATAATGCAAGAAATATAAATCACTAATAAGCGACAAATAAATCATAGCTTTGGGATACTGCCCCTTTTATACATTTTCCTTATCTCTTTCCTGAAACTCGAAAGGTTAGAAAGGTTCAAAAACATGCACTCTTACATCGAAAATTTTTACGATAGAAGTATTTCCATGTACAACAAAGAATTTCTATAAATTATGTAAATGTATGCACCACAAGTTATAGAGTTAAAGTTGCTAAAAAATGACTTTAAAATGTGTTAAAGGACTTGATATTCTGTAGTACATGCATACATTGTACGCATTTGGGCTAGAGGTTTTGGTCCGGAGTTGGCTCCCCACAAAATAAAATCAGAGCATATTGATATGTGGGCATGAGTTAATTGACCGACTTTGGTTAGGTACTAATTCCAGAAAAATGAAAAATGGCACTTTGAGATTGTGCCCCGTCTCACAAATAAGTTATGCATAACGAAGATGATACAGATAAATTTTATATACGGAATTTATTCTAACATGTTAATCATTCGAGAATTTTCACATTCACATCGCCTATATATTCCCTCCGCCACTTTTTTACATGTTTTACAATATAGGTGTGAATGATGATTGCATTCGTCACAGACCTTATACCCATGCTTCCAGCCTCTAAAGATGTGCCACTTTTCGATATAATTTCGGCTTTTTTTATTTGTATATATGTTATTTGGATTTTTTATCATTATATATATTATATATAACGAAAAAAATAATACAGTATATATAAATTATAAATTATACGTGGCTAAATTTTTTTAATACAAACCTGTAATATGTGGTGTAGTGTTTGTGACCCATTTACAAAAAATTATGCATAACGATAAGCCTCATGAGGAATTTCTAATTTATTCTGCATATTTATTCTTGTCAATCTTGTTACCGTTAATATAACATTGTACATAATTCGTTTTTACTAAAATTTGATCTTCCTAATAACGCATACTTTAATACTAGATATGTTGTGAAAAGCTGAATATATTTTAGCACAAGCTAGCACATACGTGTTAAAACAAATTATGGTAAATAAAATTCTCAGCAAACAAATACATTTAAAAATCAAATCACAGAAAATATAATTTTATTAATTTCATGTGTCAAAGACACTAGCTTCACTATAGATATATATGAAAATAGGCTAGGACGAGCTAAATAAAAAACTTAAGAGTAGCGGGCATTTAAAGGGAGGAATTTCTCGAGCCCTAACCCATAATATGAGAGTTCCTTCCCGCTACTCTGAATTATTGGAAATTATATTTGTTTTGCTATCTATCCATGCACCTATTTTATTTAAATTACTACTTTTTAAATCATTAATTTTAAGATAATAACTTTTTACCGTCTCTTTACCAAGCTTTCCCACCCCAAGACTACGAATTTCAACTGATACAATATTACACATAGGTACAGATAGGACAGCGAATTGTTCAGATATTAGTGGTGTCATGGAACCTGTCTCAGTTAAATGGTCCAACTGATCACAAAGAGATTCATAATTGGTGGTGATTTCATTAATAGTTTCGATCATGGTGTTTACCATTGTCAGCATTCTTTGTCCCTCGACAACAAATTTAGCATCTCGTGACGTAATATCTGCGGTTAATCTTTCAACACGTGTATTGAGTTCCGTGGTAAGTTGTTGTCTGACGATATACATAGCAAAGCATGTGGCAATGAAAATCAGGTGAACAGGGATCTTCTCAGCAAATATCATTAGGCACACAAAGACCAAAAATAGTGCAATTTCTAAAATATTGATCGAAGACATCTATTAACGGAAAAAAAGATCATTAGTATAGATACACGATTGTGGAGTAACCTAGCAAATATGCAACTCGAAATCAACCTTAATTCGTGTGAAACAGGTATTTTATTTTGTTTTAGTGAGACCACTACGCCTGAAAAATATTTTTATTATCTTAGCAAAGTTAAGGTACGAGATGTAAAAGTTTATTAAATAGTTTATTTTTATTTTTACAGATATTACTAATAAGAGCGTAGAAGGATTGACTAAAGATTTTTTGATCCCTTTTATACAAGATTTTATGACTTAGACACGTAAGTGGCATTGCTTTGCAATAAATCTGATTCGTTGTCTCTGTTAGTAAAGGCCAGAACATACTGGAAAAAAATGTTAATTATGTTATAAAGAATATAGACGTAAATTCTGATGTAAGAATGAAGACCCAATTCAAAAAATTTAACAATACATGGTCTGGGTAAGGTAAGTGGTGTTTATGAAAGCTAGTAGATCTGATGAATATTTACAATTGCAATGATAACCAATACATCAAGATCCTGATCAATATACACAAATATGTAGACCCAAAGGGTCATTGCTTTGCAATAGATTTTCATACAATTAATAACCAACTTCTGACATAGCATTAAAGTGATATATGATCCTAACTTACATAATGGTATTCGATTTTGGTTAGATACTGGATATAATTTTACACTCCCAAGTATATTTAGCAACATAAGTAGCCTGCTATGTAGAAGATAAAGTCGCGTATTACTGATCATTGACAAATTTACTCCATTTTATTAGTGAAACCTTTAGTTATACTAAAGACACATCATTCCATATATTGTAGAAACTTCTGTAGGAGCTTCGATATATAGACCTATCAAGCATATATATTCTATAGAATGTGATCTCCGTGCATTAATAATTCAAAAATACTGAGTATATACTGGAAAGTTCGAGTAAAAAAAAATATAATGAAGACCAAACACGGCGATCGATTTATTGATCCAAGATATGTGTGACACTATCAGTACATGTGACCTTCTGGGATCGTGACTTAAGATGAAGATTCGCTCATGTGCCGAACCACAGGTATGCTATATATCATGACACTAGCTCCACTATAAAGCTTAATAATTAACTTTGACTTTTACTTTACGCTTTCAAATAGGGCATTTCTTTACTGCTCTAGTCTTATGCGCATGTGTAACTTCTATTTCCAAACTAGATGTGGAAGAATTACTTGAAACGCTGTCTGAAGTATCTGGCATCCATGGAATATTTGACCTTATTTTTCTTACTCTTATTTTTGGAAACATCGTCATTTAATCTTCTGGATGGTAGATATATAGAAGGTATGTTGCAAAGCAATGACCCTTTGGGTCTATCTTCAATATTTGAGAGAATTTTGTTAATTATATTCATAACCTCCTCTTGAGCTAGACCAGGTTTAGATTCCGTTGATTTA